CGTGGCGGATGGCGTGTCCCTCTGGTGCTCTGCGTCACGATCCTGGGTAGAGCTCCTAGGAGAGTTGGCTCCAGATGAGCCACCACCGCCCGAGCTAGCCGCTGCATGTGCCTGTTCCAGCTGGCCGCTCAGCTCCTTGACAAGGTACTCGAGATTCCGCAGTCTGTCCATGACCCTAGCGACGCCCGGGTCGGCGTCCTGCGGTGCGGGCGCATTTGATGCTGCGGCATTGTTGGTGAGGCGCTCTAGGCGGCGAGCCCATCTTGGCGGGCGGTCGGTCGATGGAAAGACACAGGCAATATTTGCCCGGCTGCATTTAGAGCACGGCGACTGCCTGTCACAGCGAACCTTGCGAGTGCGGCATAGAAGGCAGCTGCGCAACTTCGGCGCCAGCGCAGGTGCTGATGATGGAATCCTAGCAGACGCGGGCGAGGTCGCGTTTTTCTCGGAGCCCAAAGCCGAGGCGCCCGCAATCGCACTCTCTCGCGAGGTTGCCACCGATCCTGTCACAGCCAGCACCTGCGACATACTGCAGTCAAATAATGAGCGCTGTTATTCTGGCCGACTGGTAGTCACCTTGTTCTTGCTCTTGACGCCTATCTGATGTTGTGAGGAAGCTGACGCTCGTCTCTTTTTGCTGCCTAGTGCCTCCCGAGCCAACCTTGAGCCTCAGAGTGCCAAGCTCGTTGACCCCCTTCGGGTTAGTGCCTTCCGCTTAGGGTACTACGGAGCCTCCAGCCTCCGTGAGCAGGCTAATCCGAAGGGGCTTAGTGATGCTGGGTAGCTCGAGAGACCTTGGCAGTGGAAACCTCGTCTGAGGTCAATGTACGCGAGAAAACACCGAGACAACCGCTGTGCTGGGTCACGGGCAAGACATTATGTTGTAAATGAAACCCATCAGTGCTGGTTATTATCGGATGATGCGATTAGCTCGACTGATTTTCCATATCCCATGATCATTACAGACATCATCAACATAGCGCAATTGAAACCGCCCCCGAGTCAATGTGCGCGAGAAAACACCGAGACAATTGCGTGCTGAGTCATGGGCAAGACACTTATGTTGTAGATAAACCCCATCAGTCCTGGCTATTTTCAAGGGCATCACAGACATCGTCAGCATAGCTCAGTTCTACAACAATAACTTGCCTCTGCCATCTTACTTCCAGCCTCGTGCACAACAACTTACATAGCAATTCTATCCCTGCATCGCCAAAGCACCATCGACCAACCACCACAATGGCCACTCACTGCAAGACCGTTACATTTCTCGGCGCCAGTACCGGTGTGGGCCTCTCGACACTTAAGCACACCCTCGCCGCAGGCCACCGGTGCATCGCCCTCTGCCGTATCCCATCCAAGCTTACGACCATCTTCCCACCCGAGACAACCCCCAATCTCCAGGTCATCCAGGGTAATGCGCACGATATCGCTGCCGTCTCAAAGTGCCTGGTGGCCGAGAAAGGGAAGCTCGTCGAAGAAATCATCTCCACCATCGGCGGTAAATTCATCCTCTCCAAAATGACGATAGACGACGAGGAGGTCTGCAGAAAAGGCATGACCACCATTCTCGAGGCCCTCGCCCAGCTGCGAAGCGGCGGTGCTACCGGAAGGCCGCATATTGTTGTAGGCAGCACGACAGGCATGTCTCGCTTCGGTCGCGACATCCCCCTTGCCATGATTCCAATGTACCACGTTATGTTGAAGGTCCCCCACGAAGACAAGAAGGCCATGGAAGACCGTTTGGTGGAAAGCGGAGAGGCCTACACGATCATCCGCGCCAGCTTGCTGGTCGACGGTGAGACAAGTAAGGAGATCCGGGTTGGCATCGAGGATCCCAAGACTGGGCGGGAGTCCAAGGCTATTGGGTATACCATCTCCAGGGAGGACACGGGGAAGTGGGTTGCGGATAATTTGGTGCTGCAATTGGACGGAAGGTACGTCAACAAGATTGTAATGGTGACATACTAAAGGCCGGCGATCCGGGACTCTGAGGTACGGTGTTCGATAGTGACCAATAATCTTCTGCTACTTCCTCAAATTATACTCGTAAATAGCTTAGAATTATAACCATCGATAGAAAGACGTACTTTCTCTCATGATATTATATGCGTTAAATCGCTGATTAAATGTTAGGCGAGTAACCCGACGTGATAGTATTATCGTCTGATTAAGCGAGAAGCGCCTAGTAATTCTCGAACTTGTAGACACTCGTAGTGCTTGTACGGTGTGTCGAAGGAGATGAGAGAGGGTTTTTGATCGAGGAAGGCTTGAAAACCGATCGGCTTGTGGGTGGTAATTGTTTTCCTATTTGTGATGAGGGATAACAATCTTGTATCCGTCGTTAGCGGTGCCTCGGCTCCGCCTACGCGCTATTCAGGTCACGTAAAGCTCGATCACAGTATATATAAGACGGATGTGGAGTGACCGAAGCAGCGAGGAAGTGCGGTGGATTGAAGTTTTAGAACCGAGGTCGAGGGTACGTAAAACGGCTGCTGTGGCCGATCGGATTCTAGCTTGTCTTCTACGTTTCCTATTCGAGATCTTAGCGCAAGTGTCGTGGCATGTGCAGGACTTTCGGTGCCGACCTCCGCACGCTTACCACAACTCCAAGATCCAAGTTGATGAGGACTTCTAGCACCCGACTATCTGCTCGAAGCGTGAAAAGAGTATCTTAGCCGGCCGGCCCGGGGAGCCTATGGCAAGGAGGCGAGTACTGCTCGAACGGTTACAGCCCGAAAGCTTTCCTCGCAAGACGGCATTGGACCGCAAAATGCGACGTTGACGCGTCCGCCTACAGAAAGGTTTCGGCTGCAGCTGCGTCTTCCAGACTTTCAATCGATGCAGCGCAAAAAGGCCTGATGCTTGGAGGAGCTCCTATTATGAATGCTTCCAAAAATGACGGGGGTTCACATATTCAGCAACGATTTTAGGCCTAAGAAGCATGGAGTAATAGGAAATGTTCGAGAACTCTAACCGCGATGCTCCACGTACGCGTACCTTACGCTAATATATGCGTCAATTACGTTGCGCAGCGGTCCAGACCGAAAACCCGCAGTGAGTCGATCTGGACGATTCGCCCCCTGCGCGCGCGTTTGGGCGCGAAGAAAGGTCGGACTCCGGAATATCGGACCGTATATGGGGTTTTATGTAGAGGTGAACATATGTAGAGGGCGATCTCACCAGCATGCCTGGTTCCTGGCATCCTCAAGTATCGTAGAGCGAAACAACGATCGCGCTTCACTTCTACCTCTTTGCGGGCCATTTCCTCAAGTCATTGCTCAAATCATGTCAACGCACTTGCCTTTAACAGATGAGCCCGTATTCTTCTGTTTTCATAGCGAAGAGCCTTATGATTTCCTCTGCCAGTGGTATCCTTCAGTATTCACGGCACCATCTCCGGTCTCCAAGTCCCCCATGACCTTCGTGTGTGCTGAGCAATACACGATGTACCACAAAGCCATGCTCTTTAAAAACACAGGAACGGCGGCACTAATCATGGCCACCGAGTGTCCAGCCGAGCACCAGACTCTAGGAAGGCGAGTGAAAGGAAATCAAAAAGCCTTGTGGTACATGAATAGGGAGAAGATTGTCGAAGATGGAAATTGGAGCAAAATTATGAATTCGAGGGATGAGTTTTGGTCAATGAATAAGTAGTTGAAGATGGGGAATAGAGAGCTCGTTGAGGTGCAAATTGTGAGAATGTGATAACGGAAACCAAGCACACTGACGTTTCTAGGCTTCGACGGATGTAATCTGGGGTGTTGGGTTTCTCGCAAACCATGCTGAAACAATTAGACAGGAATTGGATTAGAATCTACTTGGAAAAGCGTTGATGCGTGTCAGAGCAAGATTCAGGAACACGGCTTAGCCAAATGCCTTGTACATAGGAATAAAATTATCGGCTAGCTCGCATATTCAACACTTCATAAATCGCACATACTGGGCATGTTTTAGCCTCCGAGAGCTATGGGTTCCCATCTAAATCTATCAGCAATCAGGGAGATGTAAGTAGATAGGAACCTGAACACAAAAGCCATGCTTCGCATCTACAAGGCATGTTGTCACCACTCGCACAATCGAGAGAGACTTCACTAACGTAACTTGAACAAATTGATACACCCGTAGTACCTCAAAGACACAGAGAGCAAGCGTTGACAATTTTCTAGGATAGAGGCAAGTGGAGAGTGGATCGAGGAGGAAAGCGAGGTTGTAGAATGCTGGTCATAGGCGCACCGCTTCCCTTTATGCCCGTCACGGCAGCCATGTCCAAGGTTACTGCTGGGGTTGTGTGACTCTGCTCACCCGAATTGCTCGCTAGAAGCGGGGAACGTCAACGGTTCGTACTTTTCGGAATGACTTATTCTGTTGCGTGCCCTGTTTTGAATTGGAAGACAATTTAGAAAGTGAAGAGCATCAGCCCGCAGCAACGCCGTCACCTATATAATGACCTCTGTCGGCGGTTGAATTCGTACAGATTTTGGTGGGCTATCAGAGTGTAGGTGCCTTCAAGACAGATGACGGACGGTAACGCATCTGTGCAGATACAAGCCCGGAAGTTCCGTGATCACGACGTAATCATCCTATCATTGACCATCCTCACATCGCCACTCCTGTCTCAATGCAATGACAATGTCTCGTCATCGCAAGCCGTACCCAGGACGGGCAACGAACGTGGATGTGGTGGAAGTTCAAGAGTCTCGGCTCCTTGCCTGCCTTCTTAAGACGGATTCTCAGTATTGCTGTCGTTCCTTGAATGCTCAGCAACCTTTTTGCCCAACATGATACTGTCTATAAAATGGTATTGTAAAATCACTTGTGTTGTGTACACGAAACCTTGCGTGTTTTCCCAGGCCTGTAATTGGATGGTGCGCCAAATAGCCGACAGATTCCTGCAACGCAACTCAGTCAGCCTCATGCATCTACCCCGCACTGATGGTTGATCTGACTTCAGCTCATCCCCACCAGAACTTTCCGGCTTCTGGTCGCGTGAAACCATCATGAGCAAGGATAGCAGCGACCTCTGGGCGGCCGCGCTAAGGACACTAAATGAAGGGGATAGAAATTTGGTTACTTTCGATGGCCAACACAAATTGGATGTCCTGTCCGACCTGGAGCAACGTGTCATCAGTGCGAGGGAGAAATCCATCGAGAAACGGTGGCGATTTCATCGACCCGGTGGTGGCCAGACGGTTATTCTTCAAGATCTCTTCAGCAAGATTGTTGTCTGGATTGATCGTTTCAAAGAAATCGGAGATATCGTGATTCAGTATGATCCTGTACACGCTGCACTGCCGTGGGCTGGTATACGTTTTTTGTTACAAGTATGCATATCGCCTCCCTTTCTTCGCCAAGCTAAAAGCCAGACCAGCTTGCCGTAAGCGATATCAACAAGTTTGCCTTCATCGTGGAAGGCGCCGAAACAATGGCTCGAAGTATCTCGCGCTATGCTACGTTCGAGCAAATATACCTGCCGTATGATACTACAGCTTCTCGTGCTATGAAAGGGCTCGAAGATGCGCTCGTAAGGCTGTATGCTGCTATTTTGATCTATCTTGCCAAAGCAAAAAGATACTTTGAGGAGTCTACGCCAAGTGGGTCTTTTCCCCACGAAAGTTCCCATACTGTGGCTAAGTACAATCGCAGAACGCATGGCCAAAGCCGCGCTCACGTCTCAAAGTGATTTTGAGGAATTACTTCGCAATATTGATAAGCATACAGCGAATGTGGACCATCACGCAGGTTTAGTAGATGCAGAGCGTAAGTTCAAGTTATCCAGGTCGGAAGACTGCTAATACGATACTATACAGGCAGCAGCGACATTAGTAACACGCTTGTGTCGTTGTCAATCGGTGAGAAGACATGCCAGATTTTCTGTAGACTTGATACCTAATCCTTGCCAGACCACCAGGAAATGCATGCGAAGCTTCGGGAGCTTCTGCAGTCCATCAACAGTCCGATTCGCCGAATGAGTCCCCAGCTCGACAGTCTCCAAGATCATTTAAAGCGTAAAAACCTCTATGTCAACGTATGGCCCATGTTGACTGACGTTTTGTGTAGACACAGAGCGTGTGGAGATATTACGCTGGTTATCGTCTCAGCCTCACTTGGACCATCACCAGCAGATCAAGAAACAAGCTCTTCCAGGATCAGGTCAATGGCTGCTGCAGGACCGACAGTACATTAAATGGTATGAGCAAAGCGCTTCGTCTTTGCTCTGGCTTCACGGAAAGCAAGGCTCCGGCAAGAGTACCCTAGTGTAAGTCCAGAATACCAGGGATTCTGTATATGTATCAAAGAGGCGTGGTACTGACTGTATGTTGGTAAATAGTTCGCTTGTCGTCGAGGACATGATAAAGAGGTTTGAAGCCAGCCAGAGCGCTCTCCCTGTCTATTTCTACTGCACTCGGAGCGCGGCCGAGCCCGAACGCTCAAAACCGGACACGGTTCTTGCCAGTATCCTTAGGCAGCTATCATGTGTCCAGCCCGATGCACCCCTTCTTAGTCCGGTGATCGAGAAGTACAAAAGACAAGGCGAAGGATTCAAGTCCAACGGTCTCGAACTAGATGACAGCCGGGATCTGATCATCAGGCTGATCGAGGACTACAGTATGACCATAATTGTTGTGGATGCTCTTGACGAATGCGACGCCGAAATGCGGCAAAGCCTTCTTGATGCATTTGAACATATCCTGAAGGAGTCAGTAGGCTTAGTCAAGATTTTTGTCTCCAGCCGTGATGATCAGGATATCGTCTACACTCTCCGGGACTATCCAAATCTGGATATCTCTTCTGACAGAAACACAGCTGACATCGAAGCTTATGTCAAGACAGAGGCACAGAAACTTGTGAACAAGGGACAGCTCTTACGCAACAGTCGAGCGAAAGAAGAAATGACAGCGTTGATTATTGACCAAGTTTGCAAGGGCGCTGACGGCATGTTCCGATGGGCAAGCCTCCAACTCGACGTCCTCCGACCGCTGAAACGTGATGAAGATATCCGGGCACAATTGGGAAGGCTTCCCCCAAAATTGGAGCAGCTGTACGTCGAGGCCTACAACAACTTGATCTCGCCCCAACTCGAAATTGCTCGGTCAATCATCGACAATGCCCTGAAATGGCTACTTTGCGCCCGAGAGGAAATGCATGCTTCAAAATTTCTTATCGCGGTGGCAGCGAACCTGAAGACCTTTGACGGAGACATTTCAGTGGACGGTCTTCTCGAACTTTGCAACAACTTTGTTGTATATGACGAAGGTCTGGACGTCTTTCGCTTTGCCCATCTCTCTGTTCGTGAATACCTTGAAAAAATGCCGGAATTCGCGGAAGTCTCGTGTTACAGTCTTGCCGCCGAGTGCTGCCTGCTGCAAATGGTTGCGTTCTCAAATTGCCCAGTCGCAGAGCAATTGATGAGCGATCTACACTGTATCCGTCTCCGTGGGAGTTCAGGTTACACAGAATCGTCATCATGTGCGGAATTTCTTGGGTACGCCAACACCTTCTGGATCGAATACTGTCAACAAATTCCACAGCGCAACAGGTCGGACGACACTCAGTTCGGGCGGATCTTCCGTTTTTTCCTCTCAGACAAGCTAGGATATGGCTCGCCGCTAAACGCTTGGGTACAATGGTACTGTAGCCGCGTGCTAGATGAGGTGGCAGCAGAAGCACCACTCAAGCTCCAAGAATCTCTTACCAGCTGTTCCGATTCTCTCTCAAGATCATTTCTTGTCGCAGCCTATTTCGGCTTTAGCGAGATAATTACGCTTTGCGTAAGACACCAAGGACTGGGTGACGAAACGAAGGATCAAGGTCTAATTTTGGCGGCATTGGCTGCGCACCATGAAGCTTTTGGTATCATTAGAGAAGACAGAAAAGATTGGGTAATGACTGAGCCACTGCTTTTCCATGCGGTACGCGCTTCAGGCAAGGAAAGACTAGCTTCGCTACTAGATGAGGCTCCTGATACCATAATCACCAATCGTATAATTACTGCCATTGCTGAGGACCGGGACGATGGGAAGTTGACCATGCTTTTGGAGAGGTACCCTGGCTTCGCAATCACGGAAGGACTACTTGAACTCGCTCTAGAATACGCCAGTCAAGTTAATTTCAGACTGCTGGTAAACAGGGCAGCGGAACCCACAATTACGGAAAGTATGCTTTATATGCATGGGTCTGGCGATACTAAAGCTTCAAAATCGGTAGTCGACGCATATTTGGAGAAGATGGTGATTCTCTTGGACAAAGTGGCAGAATCTGGTCTTACTCCGCGCCTGATGGCGTTCGCTGCACGATGGAGCGATGAGCGTGTTATAGAGGCAATGCTGGAAAGGGGCGGCGCTGGCAACATAACAGAAGATGTCATGATTGACGCGGCAAGAAGAGGCGGAGAAATCTTCCATCTGATGCTAAGACATGGAGGCAAGATCACAGACACTGTGTTGGATGTGGCAGCGTCCTACTGTGACGCACAGCTATGGCAAGTGCTACTCGAACAAGGCTATGAATCCAGCATCAACATGAAGAGGCTGAAACTAGCGGCACTTAATCATGACCATGGCGACGCCGTGCTGAGCTTACTTCTGGACCATGTAGACGATACTACCATTGCTAATGAGATGCCTGGATTGATTCACCAAGTAGCAAGAAATATTTGTGAGAGTAAGCGTATGAGGCAGCTGCTAGATCGCGCGAAAGATGTAAGGGTCTCTCAGGACATGCTCTTGGCTGCGACTTTCAACTCATCCTCCGGCCAGCTAGGCGTAGTAAAAATGTTCCTGGAGCGATCGAGTGAAGTGCAGATCACCGAGGACATGCTCTTGGTTGCAGCTGGCGATGAAGATGACGGGATGGAATTGATCCAAATGTTTCTAGAGCGAAGAGGTGAAGCCGATATCAGCGAGCTTGTTCTCATGGCTGCAGCCTGCAACCGCAACCAAAGATCTCAAGTTATGCAATTGTTATTAGAGCAAGATAGAGCGGCCGATTTGACTGAGGATGTTCTTATCTGCGCGGCGCAATATTCCAACGTTGACCTTGTACTGGAAATATTGGAACGATCGGAGATCAAGCGAATCACGGGGGGTCTCCTCAAAGCGGCTGCTGCGAATGGGTCCTGTGGTGGTGAACTTATGAGGTTGCTGCTGGCGAGAGCCGAGATTACTGACTTTCCAGAAAACGTTCTGGTCGAGGCAGTAGAAAATTACGGCAACGGGACCGAAGTGATTCAGGTATTAGAAGAAACTTTTGGTCGGATCAGTATGACAGAGAGTCTTTTGGCAAAGTGCGTCCTCAGAGCAGCGCGGGGCACGGTCGAGCTCTTGCTCAACAGGACCGATCCTGCGCAGATTACGAAAGAGGTTTTGATTGGTGCAATGAGTAACTCTGGCTATGATCGAGACATTGTTCAACGTGCTGTGGCGGAGAAGTCTTTGCATGTTCCTGTTACGGCTGACGTACTCCGATTAGCGGCGGAATACGGGCCGCTTAGCCTTTTCCGATTCTTCTGGAATCGATATCCTTCGGTTTGGGCTTCGGTTCAAGAAGACCTGATTAATGCAGCAGCCAGAAAGTATTATTACGACACATTCAAATTCCTGCTGGACGACGTGGATTGTGTCGAGATTGGAGAAGAAACCATGAAAGCTATTGTAGCCAATGTGCACAATGCGGGTATTCTCTTCGACCTGCTACTCCAGCAAGGCCTCCAAGCAGATACGACAGAAGGCGTGCCAGAGATACTTTTAATGAACGGAGGTATCAAAGTCAAATGCTCGTCTCCGACGCCATTACGGCTTAGCAGCGGTTTGAAAGTCACTGAAGACTTGTTTAGGATTGCCGCGAGTGGTGGAGATCACAAATGTCTTCAAACACTCTCGGAATTCTGTGGATTAAAAAGCACTCCAGAGAAATGGCTTGATATTGCACGGCTTCGCAATGCACTTTCACGGGATGATATCGACCTACTAAAAGCCCTGATAGGACGTGGAGTGGAGCCCGATGTCGCCGCCCCCAATGGCGAGACTCCTTTGGTGGTGGCAATCCGTTATGGCAACGAGCTGGCGGTTCAAATACTGCTTGCTGCCGGTGCATTGCCCGATGGCGGACCGATGTTGAAATACTCCCCACTGTGTGAGGCCGCTGAATACGGTGATTATGACACAGTAAAGATACTGGTCAATGCTGGAGCTTCTCTCAATTTCAGGGATGACAAGGGAAGAACACCACCGATGATAGCAAAGGAAAACATATGCTTTAGAGTCTTCAAGTATCTGGAGCAATGCAGGGCAGAACAAGAAAAAGGAGGACGAGAGACCCCAGAAACAACATGAGACAATCCACGTCATCCTCGCTTTGCTCAAAGTCTTCGCAATTATACTCTCTACTAGAACAAGCCACCAGCAAATCGAGGTCTTTGACCCTGGAACACTACCACTACCGTTGCGTTGCGATCAAAAAATGCAAGTCCTGACGCTGGGCATGTCAGTACCCTACCGGAGAAGACCATGATTCGCATGCAGACCTCACTCCGTTTTCCTTTTTTACAACGGCCGTAAACACTCCTTTCTCCTATTTTCGTCTAAGCGTGGAGCAGATATTACAGGTTGAGCGAGGTAGGCGGGGTGGAATTTGAGCACGGGAAGAGGATTTGGGCAGTGCATGGGAGCTGCTACGACGGTACAAGGAGAAGCGATCTATTTCAACATAGACGCGGTCGACGGGCAGTCAAAGGCTCCTTATGGCACGAAAGGTTCAGGGAAGACGGGACACGTAATGTTGAATATAACACTCATTCTACGTATCGATATGCATATTCATTCTCTCTCGGAGGCTCCAAATTTACCAAAAACACTCTGCTAATGCCGTTCGAAGATTAAGAATCACGTGAATTGCACCCTGAGACATGACCATATGCATCCTTCGCCAGTGATCCGCGTTCATCACGAAGGCTGCATGAAAAGCAATGATCGGGCTACTCTCATTGCCGCAACTGCTGCAGCAGCAGCCTGCCAGAGCCGAACGGATACAGCCTCGCAGCTTCTATGTCAAACATGCCCACATTCCATAACCCTTTCTATTTCAATGCTCTAACATTGCATGGATTCCAGGCCGCTGACTTTCCCAATTTGATGATAACCCTGGCTCCTCATGGGCAGCCAAGGTACAAGACTTGACATCGACGCCCCGTACAAGTGTTCCCATGGTAGCTCAGATGTCCCAATCTACACTCTTGCTCATCTTCCCTGCTACCAGCTTCCTCTGTGCCTTTCCGCATAGCGAATAGATCAGCGTTGCATCTCCATTCTCCGAGCCCCCATCTTCTCCACTAGCATGATGGGCACCCGCGGGAAACACAGCGTGGCCTCTCCCAAAGATCTCCGCCCAGGTTTGATGATTTGGTAACTGGGACGCTCGAGCATGGCCGAAGCTTGCGTCTTTCTTCCGCACAACGAAGCCACATCAGTCATGCATGTGGTAGCGGATTGGCATTATTCATGCGGAATCTGAAAATAACACTTGAATCCCAAAGACTAGCTAGTGTCTGATTTGATCGGGGTGATATCATAATTGCATTTCGCGTGCTAGGTGATGGGATCCGCCGAAAGCTTGAATTTGCTCCTGCAATGGCATTCGGACACTTATATAGGCTTGAAACCCTCCCCTGAGTTCGTCATCCTTCAGCCTTTTCGCAGTGCTCTCTTGCACCTTTCCATATCCGCTGCTATCAGTCCAACGCTCCAATACTCGACCGAGTAACCAGCTTTCTGTGTTCCCTCCTGCACGCCGCAGTTCTTGACTCCAGCTACATTCAAGATGCTCAAGCTTGCCAACACAGGGTTTGCAATCATTGGGTTTGTGCAAGCAATGGCGCTACCCAGCCCAAATACTGCAACCGGCTTACGCAGTTCGCAAGAGTATGAAGGTCATTTCGTGTGCACCGTCGATACTAGTGAAAAAGGACTGCCGCCACCTCCTGGCCTCGATCGATTCGCTGCAAGGTCTCTTCAAAGACCAGAAGAAGATGTACAGAGGCTAGAGATTCAGCCTCTGATTCATAGGGTTGCTGAGCATGTGATCTGGCTACGCTTGTGGCTTCAAATCGGGACAATAACAATTGCCTTGATCTTGACCGGGCAGTGGACTAAGTTCACACATTCGGTGCGAAGACAACTGACGAGGCCGTGGTATATGTACTAGACATGCCACTTCAGTTGGACTTCGCCTTCCGGCAATGGGAGGTTAGCGGTGTTGCGGAGTCCGCGTTTTTGAGATTTCATAGTCTCTCTCAAGCGACCGCTACTGGATCAATGTTGAGGAAGGCCAGATCACCAAATTGCGGCATAGGGAAAGACGCTGGCTTCAGAGGCGAACACAGTGCCAAATTCAGAAGATGTCGCGGGCGGACATCTTACAGCACGAAACTGTGCAGGTAAGCAAAGCGTAGAAAAGGGGCGTAAGAGAAGGAACAGTGAGGATGCAGAGTGGACAAGACAACGCAGAATAGACGAAGATGAATAGAGACACGGATGTGACGTGGCCTCTTTTTTCGGGATTATTCAGGGAGATCTGACGGATGGATATTTGCCCTCGAATCGAAGTTCACCCCCAGTCATGAAAGCAGGTACGACGCCATACGTTCTGACGGTGCTGATGAATACGAAGGCTGGGAACCACTAGAAGACGCTTCTTGCGATGCGATTTTATGGTATGATGAAAGAGACGTACATCGACATTTTGGATTCTGGAACATACAATACGACGCGAGATGAATGGCTCACTCGTGGCGCCACCGCATATTAAGCGACAAAGCAGCTGTCAGACGAGCAGAACGGTTGAACCGCGACATTAACCCTTCTTCAAGGCCGATTCATCGTTTTGAGAAGCGTAATCCAAGGAAGCGAAAACTGACGTACACGTATTCGCGTCCTCTGAACAGATTCGAAGCTCTGGACATATTTGAAGATCTAAGTCTATATTGACTGCTGGACTTGGAGATTGTTGAGATTTTTGAGTGATTTGTTGACGAAAAAGAAGTCAAAGCAGGGAAATTTGGCCTGTGCAAAACCCATGAGAAGCCTGTGCATTGGCTCTTGTTTACAGCCCCACCCGATTCTATGTTAGTCCCATATATATATCAACATAATCACCTACTTTAGCATCATTGGTTCAATTGAAGCTTCAAAAACATCTATAAACGAAGACCATGGCGTGAAAATGCCTCCTACATCTTGTCGAAATTGGTCGGACTCAGCCAGTAGGCAGCAGCCGTCGGTCTCGCTCTCACCATCTGCCCCTCGTCGTTCCTCTCGCACTGTAAGAATAGCTCTCATATTATCTGGGCTGACGGACATCTGCCGAAGAAGCTGAAGGACGGGCTGCAAACAACTTTGAGGGTATCGTGGAACAGAAGAGGATCGCAGAGTGGAAGAGTAGAGTAGAGTAGGTGTTATTGTAGAGTACAAGAGTATCATAGAATAAATAACAACCGCCGCAGCGTAGAGGATTGCTGCAGGATAAAATACTCTAAGGTCAGAGGTCCTATCCATAGAACGGGTGTGTATAATTTCTGGGCTGACATATTATCTGATCTTATACGACTCCTACATGAAAGCTTCTGATTCTTCCAAGTGGTCTCAACAGCGCGGACTTTGATATTACCCCTGCTCCTCTAGCTCATTCGCTAGACGTAAAGCGGCCACACCCTTGTGAGATCCGGATGCCAAGCCTCGGAACATTCCGCTGCCCTGCACTCCATGACCGCATGCCTGTCTCCTGAACCACTGTTTACTTTCCACGTGAGATACCCTTACTTACCCCTCTCAATCTCACATCTTGTCTCCCTACTTACACATAAGACGCTCGCCCTGCCCATCCGCCGGTTTGGTGGCATCTGTATCTCCAACCATGGACATAGCCTACGACCACATCCAAGAGGAAGTCCTCTCCCCTGACCAAATCGCCAATAAGAAATCACAAGACCCCAACCAAAAAGATGGCAACCTGAACACCGAATTAAAGGAGGCATACAAATCCTTTTCATCGAGCCCCTGGGGAGCACGCCTCGGCGGCTTTCTCAGCGATGTCCGGAAGCACGGCGAGACTTATTACGAGGGCGCCCGCCAGGAAGCCACTGCTGCTAGCGGTGAAGCCCTCAAAGGCTTCACGGATCTAAGATCTACCCTCGTTAGTCGGGCACGATCCATGTCGACGGGACAGGATCCACCATCTACACCCCCGGCTGCCAATCAGACGTCCGGTAGAGAGGCGGAGAAAGAGGGAAAGGACGACAAGGAGCGGTCTGAAAGCGAAGCCCTACGAGAATCCGAAAGCGTCATCTCTCGCTTCCGTGCTGAAGCCGCAAAACGGTTGAAGGATCTCGAGAAAGCAGAAGAAGCAGCGGACGCAGCAATCTTCAGATTCGGTGCCAACATCGGCAATTTCCTCCGCGATGCCGTGACCATTGCTCCTCCCACCGAAGAGACCAACAAAGACGGCTCACGGAAAGTCCTCTTCGAAAGTAAAGATCAAGATGGCAAACGGGTCATCCACAGCACGCGGTTCGACGCCCAATTACACGCTATACACTCCTCCTTGGAAAGCTTCACTTCCGATCCTGCGAGCGCGGAGTATGCAAAGTGGAAAGACGATTTCGATGTGGACAAAAAGACAGACGCTATAGCTCAGGATTTGGAGAAGTATGAAGAGCTGAGACGGACAATGGAGAAACTGGTGCCGGAGAAAGTAGAATACAAGGACTTTTGGACGAGATATTACTTCTTGAGGATGGTGGTGGAGACGGAGGAGCAGAGGAGGAAAGACATATTGAAAGGTAAGCCCCACACACACTCTCTCCAACAGGAAACCTGCCGAGCACCGTGCACTGACCTACAACAGGCGCCACCGAATCCACCCACGAAAACATCGGCTGGGACGACGACTCCGACGACGAAGAAGACAAAGCCTCCACCCCTCAACAATCCCAACCTCCCCCAACCGCTTCCGAAGCACCAGAGATCTCCCAACCGCCCTCCTCGACCGACCCCAAAGCAGATGAGCCACAGGAACCGCCCTCGCTCAAGCCCGCCGAACCACGCCGCTCCCAGGACGCTCTGTCCCAACCGGATAGCGACACGAGCTATGATCTCGTGAGCGGTGCGACGAGCAGGGCGCCTGGGAGTCCGAGGGCGGGGGAGAAGAAGGATGACGACGAGGAAGAGGATTGGGAGTGAGGAGGTCATGGGATTAGCTTCTTTTGCTGCTGAGGCTTTGAAATTCAAGGGGGCGCATTGGGCCGGGCGATGAGGTTGCTACTGGGTTGGACGCATGGCGCTGCTTTTGACTTTGCTATCTGTTTAGCTTCCTACGTTCAAAGTTCTTGTATAGAGCAGTGACAGCATTGGGATCGTATGACGTGGCCTTCGCCGTCGAACTCAGCGCCGTTACAACTTGCTATCGATTTTTGACTCTTGGCGAAGCAATAAGAGTGGGTATAATACGCTTAATCCAAACTCGCAGTATCGCTCCTATCAATCCCAGGCCTTATCACCTCTTCCTCTTCCTCTCCCTTCCCTTCGCCCTTCTTCTCTCCAATGCCCCCGATGACACCGGGCCCATGATGCAGCACGCCCTTCGCATCCTCCAACGTGCCTCTCCTCTCTTCGACTGGGCCTACGGCAGTGTTCGCTAGCTCGTTCCCGTTCTCGCCCGCCAGCGGAAGTTTGTTGCGCAAGTCGTAGTGGTCCACGCCATCAGCGTACTCGCCGTGGGCGTCTTCTACCGGTTCTATCGTTCTTTGACGATCGTGGTTCTCCTGTGCGTCAATGAAGACTTCGTCCTGGTTGTCTGGGCTATCCCCAGCTTGTTTGCCCGTCTCGTCCCCCTTGGGCGAGACGACGCCTGCTTGACTGGTGAGAGTGACAGTACTGGCATTGGCGCCCTCAATACCTAGACTACCTTGGTGTCTGCCAAGCTTGAAAGGGAAAGCTTTGCCAGGACCTGCGGAGGGCCGTTCCCCGGGACTGGCAGGGAGAGGGACTGCTATTGCATTCTCGGAATTTCGGTCTGGTGGACTTGAAGTGATGCTGTCACTAACTTGCTTACTCTCTTCGTCTCGGTTGGGGCTGACGACACCTGCTTGACTGGCCAGCGTGATAGTACTGGCATTCACGTCTTGATTACCCAAAGTCCTGCCGAGTTTGAACGGGAAGGCCTTGCCCGGCCCTGCAGAAGGCCGCTCCCCAGGGCTAGCAGGTAGCGGTACTGCTTTCGCATTCTCAGAATTCTCATCCGGTGGACTGGAGAGGAAAATCGGAGGGGCGAGGTGAGCGTGATCGGTTGGATGGCCGTTTGCTTGGCTGTTCAATGCTTGCTCATTTCTTCGGCGATCCAATTCTGCAGCTGGCGTATTCTCGTCAATTCCAGGTTTGGCTATGTAATCAGTTTGACCTGCGTCAGTCACGCCTCGCCGCCGAGACCGCGAACGTGATAGCTTATTTGCTCGGTCAGCACCTACTGGTCTGGCGTTGGCACCGTCGTTCTGGGATATTATCGTGGTGTTGACTTCCTTATCTGCCTTTTTTTCACGTTGAATCTGCGAACTATCAGCACCGTAACACAACACCTCAGAGGAGAGGGAAGAATCCATACAGTATTTTCATCGTGCGAGCTTCCCCACAAGCTCCACATACTCATTCCCCAGCTCTTCTTTTTCTTCTCTTCCTTCGGCATGCTCAGACCTCGCCGTCCAGCTAGTGCTGAAGGCGGAGGCACCTCATCATTACCGAAACCCTGAAAGCCTTTGGCCATTTCTTTCGCTCGCTGCTTTTGTACCTTTCGCTTTTCTCGAGCATACTTTTGGTCCCACTGTTTCTTAGCGTTCAACCATTTCCCGACGGGACCAGGCTTAATCACGCCAACTTCATTTGCCGACATCTGTAGAGCCGGCATCGATGAAGGTGGATCTAAAGGAAAGATGTGACCGTGCCGGTCGACTCTTTGCCGTATCATGTGATCCTTGAAAGCTGGCAAAGCATCGCCAGCTCTGCCCACTTGATCTTTCGCGGCAGTTCCCCCTTGAGGCACGCCATTGTTCATGGTGGTTTTTGTTTGCTTCGATTTATCGAAATCGCTTTCACTTTCGGTGTCTGATCCCACGGAAATGAGGGACACCTCATCGTCATCCATGATCTCAATCTCAGTCTTTTGAGCTCGAGCGAGGACCCAAGCGCCAAATTGAGCAATAGACCGATACATGAATTTTGCTGGTCGTGTGAAACTGAGTGTAGGGGCCACGTGGCAAAGATCGTCCCAGACCTGTAGCTGCACATCTGTAGGCTTCCACTTTGCGATGAGGTCCCTCGCTTCGGGATACTCGTCTAGATATGCATCACCTGGAGGATATTGCGAAGGATGCGCGGCTTTGTGAGCAAGATATATCTGCTCATCTCGTAGTATCTCACCACCGCCCGTGACAACGAGCAATGGAGGTAAGCCACCTAATGATGGTTGTAAAACCGGCGAAACGAGCGGATGCGATATGAGCTGATTAGTAGTGTACATTTGGATTTGGTCCTTTATGTCGACGAAGTTGCCACCGATCATAATTGAGAAATTGTGTCCAGCGCCAGGAATCGTATTACCAGGTCGCTCTCCAGCACCGTCAGTACCGGCTGGATTATCCGCGTTTTCCTTGGGATGTAAGTTCTCTGGGGTGTGATCAACTGAGAAACCCTGCACTGCACTGTTCCTTGCCTCTCGCCTTTCTGCGTTAGTTGACTTTCTAGGCAGTCCTTCGCCTGCCACTTGCTCAACGGCATGCATTGCTATTTGTTCCATATCATCTGTATTGGGTGGTGGCCATGAGGCTGAAGGCCTCTGTAGGAAGCCATGAGTGGGAATGAAATCTAATGAGCCATCGCCTGCGACGCTGGGGAAAGAATGGGTCAGGTCGACCCAAGGTGATATTAGTATTGCTCCTGCTGGAAGAGGCAGGCCTCGATCGCGTAGTATTACAAGTATGCTAGACCCAATTTAGCTGTGGCACGCTCCTAGTATAATCTCACATACCTAACAATCATCCCGCCTCCCGCTGAATCGCCTGCAAGAACGATCTCCGAGGGATCTTGCACAGTCAAAAGGTAGAGGTATGCTGCTAGACAATCGAGAAGACCGCAAGGAAATGGATATTGAGGAGCTAATCGATATCGTGCTGAATCGTGTCAATACTGCCGGTGACTTCCGTTCCGATGATAAGACTCACTATGACTTATCAGTACACTGTTCTTTGAACCATCTTCAGCTGTACACTCACCGCGCAAAGACCCTAGCTTCCAACTTTCGAGCATGACGCTGAAGCTGATACCGATGTTCATCCACGCTCCCAAAGAAGTAGGCACCCCCGTGTACATAGAGCATGACTCGTTTGCCCTTCTCGTCCTTCCTTTTATCGAAATCTCTCCTCATCTCAATCCATTCCGCCCTCAAGACGCTGCCGTCTCTTCGCCATTGCCACCATTTCTCGCCTCCTACCTTGTCAACACCATGGTGCCCCAGTTGTGCTACAACCGCGTCCGCAGCTCCAGATAGGCATTTCTGGGGTATTGTGATTTCGTCGACTTTGACCCAGCGTGGACTGGGAACCCATTGAGACGTAAAACCCTGTACCTCTTCGACTGTATGATGGGAAGCATAGGCAAGGAATTGGCGTATGAGATTCACGCCTTCGTGGTACGAGATGTGGGCAGTGGGCATCTGACGGAGAGGCTTGCGATTGAGGTACTATGGCATTCGTGAGCTACAATCCGTGGAACAGAGCGACAAGCTAGCCATACATGAGAAAAACAAGTCTCGATTACTGTAGGTGCGACTGCAGTGCCGACCGAGATGGTATTGAAGACCATGGCTGTTCAAGGGGTGGCGCGAGTAGGTAATGCAGATATCGAAAACCTACGAGAGAGCATCTAGGAGACGCAGAACAATGAGAACATTAGCACAAGATGCAGTATAAACCAGCGACCACTTTCATATCTGGGTGTCACAACGACTTGAATACTTGATGTGGAGAATCGTACCATTTTGGAGAGATGACGGAGATTTCTCAATCGTCATGTCCAAAATCTTAGATTCCTCGGCTATCTCGGACATGTCGATCTCCCGAGCCATAAGTGTCCACCAGATTTTGTTAATGGACCCATCATCCCCTTCGACAACAGCGTCGTGCATTGACCGCTGAAGACAATATCAGCTCCATCGTCGATCTCAATGTCGAAGCCAATGAGAGAAACCCAGGGAGGTGTTGCGCTTCCTCCATCACCTGGTACATATTGATGTCGTCTCTACACAGTCCAAATTGCTGAAAGAAGACAGAGAAGATCCAGAGCAAGTTCGACCTTTCAATCGCCCTCTCTCTCTCTACATGGCCTGCTCTCACTCTCGCTGTCCAGAACTCATGGGGTGGCCCTGATTCTTCGGAGAAGCGGGACTGGTTTGCAGGAGCAATTTCCGACCTGATATCTACTACACCAGATGCCGACGTTGAATATGTCGAGGAATTTCTGCTTCAGGTCATGAACGATGAATTTGATGTCAACGTTGAAGATGGCAGTGGGGAAGAGATCTCCGCGAAGATCATTGGTTTGAGGAAATTGACTCTGCAAGGGGATTTCGCCATGGTGGATGAGATGTATTCGAAATGGCAGGAGAGGCAGGGCAGGGGTAGTGGTGAGAGGATCAACTTTCACCATTTCTCTAGGGATGACCATGAAGATGAAACCGATTGGGATAGTGATGGTATCGACGAGGACGACGACAACGATGATGTCGAAATGGGAGAAGCACCTGCGCTGGTGAAGACTCCCAAGGAGAAGGTCCAACCTAAGGTCGATGAGGAGGGATTTACAGAGGTGGTAGGCAGGAAGAGGAGATAGCATGGGCCTTCGAGCAAGCATGGGATGCTACACCTCACACATGGGACAGGTGCTCCGGCACCGACCTCATCTCCAGGCAATCTGGAGGTTCTCCTGTCCAAAAAGGGGCGCGCCGCGGAAGATTGGAATGGAGGATCTTGATGAAGAAAGCTTCTGCCTCGTCCTTGCGGGCTTGTCTTGGAATCTTCTGAGAGGTCTTTGGAGCTGCCCAACGAGCCCTTAACGAGGTTCACGATGTATTTGCTATGGAGCTTGGGTTTCTGAGAGATGGCATTCTCACTTTTCCAAGCTCAGTAGAGCCTCGAAAAGTCGATTTAGAAAACGGCAGCTTTCGCCTATCATGGTCAACCTCAGATAGCATGAGCATGCACTCAGAGCACCCATGTACTATCTGAATGTCTGCAAGATTAAAGAACGATTAAGTACTCTGATAAAGACCAGATCCTGTTGGATTGCTGCATTCGTAGTTAGGGTTTCGCTCTCTCAGGTTACTCCGAAGCCGTGGCTAGGAACAACTTCTCTCCATCTCCGTTCAACGGCGTCTAAGCTGTAGAGCTCAAACCAGTAGAAGCATCATTCAAATCCAGTCTTTTCTGTAGACGAGGAGCATAAGTTTCTTGAGTATCAGCACAAGTATGAGCGCTCGCCAGAGCTCTAGCCAACTGCCAATGGCGCTAGCCTTAAAATTCTTATTACCGTCCACACCTTGCTTTTTGCACAACACACCTACATCATTCTCGACTTCTTTTCCATCTATTCTGCTCTCAAAAGCACCATCGTTTGAGAACTTATCGACGAGAGCATTTCAAGATGGATCCGAAGCCATCCTACCCAGACCCCGAGGCAGCTCATGGAGGAATGCATCCATTTTCCTATGCAGCCCAACCTCAGATGCCTCCAGCCGAGCACGCGCACGCGCACATGCAGCAAGCTCCAGCAGCAAACATGCGAGGACCTGTCGGTGACGGACAAGAGTATGGGCAGATAAACCACAACGGACAAATATTCACACAAAATGGACAGAATTCAAGAGAAGCTCAGTCCGCCACGCCACAGCAGCTTGCACAACGAGGCCTTGACGCAGACCAGAGCCAAGGGCGGAGCAATGTGGATTCTTCTGCAAGAAAGAGAGCAAAGGTTACGAGAGCGTGCGATGAATGTAGAAGAAAGAAGGTATCTTGTTCCCAGCTTGCTGGAGCGCTCTTTCCAGATTCACGGGCTCGTTACCAACCTCTTTAGATACGATGCGATGCCGAGTCGGAGACACCCGGTATACAGTGCAGTGCCTGCAAACGAGCAGACCAGGTGTGCGATTTCAGAAGAGCGCCACAAAAGCGTGGTCCAAGCAAAGGGTAAGTCGATACCAAGAAAACGGGGGCCTATGACATACTCATTCTCTTGTAGGTACATCAAGGAATTAGCAGAGCGTGTAAATAGGTTGGAAAATTCTGGGGCTACTCCTCCGGATATGCAGTATGCCCCGGTCATTCACGATCCATCCGGTCCAGGGAGCGCTTATTCTCCGCCGCTTGAATATAATAGACACAGAAATCATGGTATGATGATGGGGCAACAAAACTTCGAGCAAGATCATCAAGAGCTTCTAGAGTTCTCGCCAGGACATCGCGGCACTAATACCGACGCGGCTGCAAATGGACTTCAAGTGCCTAGAGTCTTGCACCCTACATCCCTCGTCCATCAACAAACACGAGACACGTTGAACAACATGGCACCTGATCCATCGGTTTACGAGTAAGTTGGAATTCTGTAAGGCTTGAATCCCACTCTAACTCTTCTATAGTTACGGCAAGCTCATCCAACCCTTCTTTCCTGTGCTTGCACGCCAGGAAGGCCGGGTGCATCACGAACTCGAGAAAGTACCTTCTACTGTTCGTACAGCCCTGCTCCATGCACGCGATCTAGCAGTCACCTGTTGTACTTCTGCTCTCAAGCCTGAGGCTTTGTTAGCCCGAGTCACATCAGAACTCGCAGCCTTGAAAGCAGAGGGACCCCAAGCCCGAACGTGCGATGCCAATTTCGCATACCTTCAAGCTTTGTTCTTCATGGCCATCGTCACCGAGAATAGTGGTCCCGTGCACAGTCGTAACACGTCCTGGATTGCCGAAGCGGTCAGCATCGCAACATACTTGAATCTGCACCAATCCCACGCCTTCGAAATGGGGGGCACAGAGGATGAAGATTCTAGCCCAAAGGTAGCTCGGCGCGTTTGGCTGAGCCTGATTGTGCTTGACCGCTTTCATGCCAGTAGTACAGCCAGCCCATTGCTGGTTGCCGAAGATAGTGCACGTCTGGTTGCGTCCGATGAGGATATTTTGGGACCCGACGCCTACCACCTAGTCCGTAAGTGAAAAACAGCCACATGATGGTCTTCACCCTACAATTAGATGATAACGGACTGCAGGTATCTCGCTCGCGCTGGGCCATGTATCCCATGCTATCCTCTACCAGTACCCCGAGCGCAATCGTTCCCATCCGCGCGAGCTTCTCCTTGATCACTTGATGAAAGGAGAGATTGACCGCTTGGGTGAAGGTCTGTACCAAACATTCCGTCAGGCGCCACACTTATACCTAGCTTTCGCCCACCTTAAGCTCCTCTCCCTCAGACTTCCTGGATTTCCCGATTCGATAACGACGGAACTCTTGGATCTCGCTTACACAATTGTCGATCAGCTAAGCTCGCCCATTGGCGGTGTGCGACCGTTGACTCATCATTTCGCTGGGCTCGCTGCCATCACGCTGGCAGAGAACATGGGCAATGAGCAATCTGTGGCCACTTTGCAAAAGCTTCGCGCCGTTCTCGACACTGGCTACGTTCGAGAAGACATCGAATCTAGCAAATCTAGGCCTCACAAGACGGTCTGGAATGCGCCTATCAGCTCGTTCATCAGCAAGAAGCTCGGAGATAGTGCCCCTCAAGCGTCCAATGACAGCATGACTTCTCGTGGTGGATTGCAGCACCTTGCGGACGCTGCGGTGGGCAATGGTTCCAACGGAGAGGCTACAGATTGGACTGCGGTGGGTGCCAAGGGGTTTCTGAACGAATTTGAGTAGTTTCTTCGGGGACTGCTACGAGTTCATCTCTTCACTCACATTATGATACGAACTCGTCAGATCGATAATTGCAAGGGAAGCACAAATTCAATTCGGCTAGCATCAAAACTTGTTCTATTACTTTAGTTAGGAAAGCTACAACAATCATGCATTGCTCCATTCGACTCCGTGTTCGCCACCATCAATTCGTGTATTGCTACAGATCTAGCCATGATTGCAGCACAAACACATCATCTTTTGCTCCGTTCCGTATCATGATGTTACGTAGCGCTATGCACATCTAGCCCCTGCCTTCCGCACAAATGCTCCAATTTATATTGCAAAATTTCATTTCCTCGGTCACCCATTCCAGTATGCCCATGCCATCTGATCAAAACCCATATGTCAACCCTAGAGGCGAGAAGATCCGTAGACCCCCGGTCTGCCGTCGTCATATTGAACATCTATCCTTCGAGACTTTTGGAGGTAGGTTACGGTCGCGAGCGGTGATGCAGAGGGTATGGATACCACGATCGGAGTCCCGTCAGGGCCTTGCTCAACTTTGTAGGGAGCCTGTGCGCTGGGTGAATGGTCTCGGGAGCACGAGGCGACGGACCATCTGATGTAAGGACGAAAGAATTCGGGGACGGAGACTGAATTGCACCGCCGCTGTATGAGATTATGGTCACAGCTGCGGCGACCGCTTCCCGGACTGATGACCTGACAGGGAAACGCGCTGAGAGGCTCGGAGGAGCATCAGCGCCTTTGACTTGTCAGATCGCCGAATAGGAGACGGGAAGTTCACTGGCTTCATTTCTGGCCTTGTGATGCTGCAGTTCCGCTGCGTGGCCACCACGGGGTGAGCGAGAGAGGGGGGGGGTGCTGTGGCGGTACAGGAGGTGGGATAGAGGATCGGTCGCTCGCTGCCAGGGATGGCATACTCGTACGGGTATCTTTGGATGTGCGGTACCGAGCGGAGAATTAGTAGATGTCGTTGGGAGATAGAGTCGGAAGGTGCTTCCTGCGGGGTCTTCCTTGCTAGCCATATGTAGTATAGCTTGCTTGGCTACTAGATCCCTGAAGCTCCTTCGGATTTGACATTTTCTTTGATAGACGCAGATCCCTGCGTTCATCATTTCTCTTGGCATGCGGCCGAGAGGCCTCTAATCCATTTGCCACGAGGCCGAAAGATGCCGAAACATGATTTCTCCGCATTATACAATTAATCGATTAACATCAAGTGAAACCTCGCGCTTGAATAGAGTTGCTGATGGTGCTCTTGGACCCTGGACCCTGGACCCTGGACCCTGTTGATGCCCATACATATTCAATGACGAATGCACCTCCTGCATGCGGTTTAGATTCAAGCCTTGGAAGACAAATGCTGACACAAAGAACGGGAAGGAGATAAAAGTGACGAACCTACCTTATCTCCAGATTGCGTGCGAGGGTGGAGTAGAGTAGAGTACTTCATGAAACTTCTTGCTTACTGATCGTGCCGTTGACACTCTATAAAATGGCTTGATCCTGCTCTTCTTTCATCTCTTGACTACGTTGTGGGCACAATTCTTCCGCTTTGAGGACCCTTTCCTCCGTACTGCAATACCTGCTCTATCTCTCTGAGCTGAGCTTTTATACGAAGTGGTAGACCTCCGAGGGTCCTCTGCTTCCTGGCAAAATATTCACTATGATGTTGTGAACACGCAAAGACGCCCCAGTGCTTCTGAATTCCCCGTCCCAATCTTCATCACAAAGAAAGAATATTCGCCAGCCCCCACTCATGATGGGCGAATCCAAATTGGCTTCGACAGCCATATACCAACTACCCCTAACGCCGACATCGCCACTCTCTCCCGCAGCAATGTCAGATGCAGGAGGGCCCATCGAGGAAATCAGCAGCAAAGACGCATTAGCCACAGCGTTATCCGTTATCGGGACAGAGCGGGACG